TTTTAATGTAGGTTTTCAGAGCTATATTCTTCCCTCCAATGACTGCTTTCAACATGTCCCAGAGGTTTTGTTGTGTGGTATTGAGAAACTCCTTAGTACAAATTTATTTTTTTTTTATCAATTTTTTCTTTGGGAATTTGGGCTTGACATAAATCTTGCCACATTTGTCTTCAAGTAACCCAAACGGACCATTTCTTCTGTCTGATCTTTTTTATATCTCTTGTGGGGTGTTCTGTTATTTTACAGACATGTTTTACATGCCGGTTTGAGTCACTTAGATTTGCTAAAGCCTCTCTCACTTTACAAAGATCTTGTCCCATTAAAGGACTTAGCAGAACTGTTAAAACTCTGGACCATTCTCATGGTCCCAATTGAATTAAGATTTCACTTATATCTCTGGTGAACACAGTCTTATCTGGCCCAGTGAACTGGGCATCATACTATTATTGCACTAGCAGATATTGCTTGGCATGTCCATGGTGTGCAGCATGCGGGGTTCATTGTTGAGTAGACTCATAGGGGATCCTTTCTTCCCCAACCATTTGCAGCATGCCTTCTGGCACTATGAAAGTCCTCTATCCAGTGACATGGAGTTTTTTGCTTAGATGCAGCTCTGTCTCTTCTTCTCCCACGCTCACATCATGCAGTGTCTTCAGCAATATGGCCTTACTGAACTTCCTAGTGTACAATCAACATTAATGGCAATAGCCTTGGTGAATTTGAGGACCTCTAGGATCTTTCTCTGACCAACAGCTCATAGGGGGGTAACCCACCCCTGGTACTATAGATTTTCTTAACAGTTGTATAGTTTGGGAGTCTCTGTCTTCATCTTACCCAATGCCTGTCCCTCCTTTATAGTCCTCCAGCCTCTGATAATCATGGGAGTCCCTCTTAGTGATGACCATGTATCTTTGATGCTTTGCACCAGCCATCTATTAAGGACTGCTCCCCATTGCATTGGCCTAGGTTGAACAGCCTATGTCGCAAGGATGGATGGGTGGTTATGTAACTTAGCTGTGAAGCGTCTGAAGGACTCAGGCTGATTTTATTTGCTCCCATGTCCCATACCTTCAAGAGCCACATGATGAGGGCACTTTGATTGCTTGCTTGTAAGTTTTTCCTAGTTTTAACAGCTCCAGTGTGGAGTATTTGCTAGCTACAGTACTGTTAGCTTTTTCTTCTTTTTGTATTAAAGGTTGAATCTGAGGGGCAGCTTTAGATAATTTATTTTTAGGTTGTTTCTCTTTTCACTGCTATCTGTCTTTTTTCCTGAGTCCTTGGATCCCTGGTCCCCTAACCTTACACAAGTTAAAGTGTCCCACTTTTTCTCTCTCTCAAGCTCTCTAACTGGGTCTTCCAGGACCTCCCTGGCCTTTTCAGCTTCTCAGGCCTGGGGCACAGCTTTTATTATGCAAAGTGGCCACAGCCCCTCTTTGTGTTCATTTTTGTTTGTAAGATTTTTTTCCAGGCTCTCTATAAAGTTTTCAGATCCATGAGGAGGTGTATTCCATTTTTTTTTTTTTTTTTTGCAACTGAACTATTTCTCCACATTTACAGCACAGCTGTTGCCCTGGGATTTTTCTCTTTGATTCCATCCACATCTGGGTGGCCTGCATCATTCTAATTACATAATTTATGATCCATTGTATAAAGCATGCGAGCATGGCTAGCCCCCTTAAACCTATGGGGTTTGGCCCCTCTCTTTCCTGGGTTCCTACCAGCTTCTCCCAGATGTGTCTCATTACCTCACAGGACTCCTTGTGGCACCCCTCACCTCCCTTCTGGATTTGGGAATCTGAAACTGGTTCTCTTTTGGTCTGCTCACCAGAAGCTGCTGGAACCGTGCTGCTTTTCCAGGCCCACACCCCATGTTTACCAGGACTCCTGAGGTTCCTTTATCCAGTCGTACCAGGCCAATTTGTTGCAGTACATTTTCCCTTTTTCCCTTCTTGGGAGGCTTACATGCACCCTCCAAGGCCCCAGGGCTCACAGGCTAAAATAAGGCATTTTTAGTTTGGGTTTTGTACTGTTTTATGACTTTGGGAGGGAGTCACTTACAAAGAAACAGCTTCTCAGGCCCCGTGCATCACCCTGTGTCCATACCCTGCAGGACACTGCAATTCGCCCAGTGGCTCCACACATACTTCTCTCTGTTCCAATCTAACACTGTGCTAGTTTTCTGCAGCTAACTCTCTGTAGCTAACTTTCTGTCTCGCAGAAGACTCCGCCCCTCTTCCCAGGGTGCTCCTCGTCTTGACCCTGGATGTCAAGACTGTTCAGAGGAATGAGTAATTTGTGGGCTACAAAGTGAAAGAAAAATAATAGAAAGACTTTTATATCGGAATAGAAAATTACCTGTGTTCTCAAATTACATGAGCCTCCATACAGACAAATCTTAAGGATTTCACATGAAAGAAACAATTAAAAGTGGCAATACCCCCCCCCCCAAAAAAAAACAGTAGCAAAGTTGCTGCACTCACAATTGACACGAAGCAAAATCAGTTGTGTCTCTAAGAATGACCGCCCTGGGAAAGAAGCTATTTACAGTGGCAGCAACAGAACGGAGTCCTTAAGAATAAGTGTAACTGGTGTGACAGTTCTACACTAAAACAGTATCAGCTGTAAAACGGTGAAAGCAATTAGAACACAGAGAACCGGAAAGGCATCTCTTGCTTGAATCAGAAGACTATTGCTGAAATGTGCGTATCACCCCAAGTGATCTACAAATTGAACACAACATCCATGAAAACATGACATATTACACTGAAACAGAGAAAGAAACTTAAAACTCCCATGGAGACAGAAGACTTCAATTAGCAAAATTAAGGAATATTGGGACTTAAAAAGGTGCTTTCCTTCAGTTTTTACAGCGGACTCATTACCCTGTAAGGGGTCTGCATTCCATGGTCATTGTTTGCAATGGATAGACAAGGTGCAGAAACAAAACAGCAGACTTATGAATAGAAAGAGGGGCCTATTTACATTACATTATATTATACTATAATCATGTTTCAATAAAATTTAAAAACATCATAAAGTCTTTTAGAAAAATGACCTTTTAGTGAGTGAAAATATTATATTTAATTTATTTTCCTTGATATCTTTTAAATGGAGGAACTTCTAACTCAGTGATGGTGGTCTGAGAAATTTGTCACTTATATGGTGACCCTTTTTAGCTTGGGACAATTCTTCAAGGGGGTGGGGAGATGAGGACTGTTTGTACCAGGTGTGGAGTGAGTTTTAAACTCACAACAGGGAATCTGTGTCACTTCTGTGACTGTTAAGTTATTCATACTGGAAACGGACATGTTGAAAAAAATAGGAAAATTTATTGATTTTATGATTATTCAGCATTTCTAAATGAAATTTAAATTCAAATTTTATTAAGATATTCAATAAATGGCAATAACCAATGTTCTTCATTTTGAAATAGATTTAGACTCCTTGACTTGTCCCAGTTACAATTATGATGAATTCTCTGTCATTTCAGTTTTGAGATGTGTAAGATGTAATCTATGGTTATATAAAAGGTGTGTGTATATTTGTATATATATTGAAGATTTTTACTTGTCAAGAGTTGAAATTTCTAACAATTCCTTTTTCTACAAACACATTGTTGCAGGTCACTTACTTGGTCAGAATTGAGGACAGAACATACACACTCCGTCTTGAAAAACAGTAAGTTGATCATTCTTTTCTACAGCTGTTTTTTTTTTTTTTTTTTGTTTTTAAAAAAATAAAAAAACAATCTCTACCTAAACTGAGCTTAAAAAGAGTATACATATTCCATTTATTTAATATGCTTTTATCTTCTTCGGGATTCATGACAGGCTTGGCATTTGAACTGTCCTTGTGAGATTTGTCATCTAATAATCTAGCTGTATTCTAAGTTAACGATTAAGTTCTATTGCATGTCGGGTAAATGAAAATTACTCTACTGAAGTCCTTAAACTACAACTACACATGCAGTCATGAAGGGTATAATTATTTGTCATAACTCTGGTTATGAGCACACACCTAATGACCTAAAATATTCCGTGCAAGTCCCACCTTCCAAAGGTGCTACCACATTCCAGTAGCTTAGGACCTAAGGTCAGGCCTTAGCACATGGCTCTTTGGGGGAACACTGCAGATTCAAATTACATCTACCTAGTTAAATTCTCTGAGCACCCTAATGCTTTTGAACAAGGGGCCCTGTGACCTAGAATTTAAGTAACTTGTTTGTGACTGTTACTTACTTTGGCTAATGAAAAGTTAGCTGAGTTAAGTAAGAAGCTGAAAAAAGCATTGTGCGCCCCAGCCTTCTGTCTTAGTTGTCAGACACTGCCTGAAAACACAGTGCAGCTAAGTTCCTGGAAGGCAGAGGCACATGGGACATGGTCACAATGCCCTGTGAATCCTTTCCTCCATCAGCCTGCATCCGGCACAGCCTGGACCCATACTGGCAGGATTAGCAAAACCACCAAGCCAGCTCTCTGCTGACCCAGGCAGTGAGTGCCAGGCATTTTTTCTTTTCTGTGTGGCTATGATTTTGTGTGCTTTATGCTACACTTTGTTGTACTTTGTGTAGTATTGTTTTATGATTTATTTATACTGATGTGTAAAAAGTTTTGTTTTGAGTACATGTATAGCCATGCAATGCACATATATAATTTGTAATGTATTCACCCATAGTTCACATGATAGATGTTTAGTTTACTATTTCATCTATAAATATTAGTGGCAAGAAAAACTGAATTTCCTTAGTCGTAACTTCTTGGTACCTGTAAATCAATGGACTGTGACTAGGAAAACACTCACCTGTCCTCCACTAATCTAGATGTTGTAGAAATGTCTAAATTATTTTCTTCTGCTAGAACACATGGATAACCTATCTCTGTGTCTACAAATGCCTCATTTGTTGTCACGATTAAATAACATATTGGCAATGTGTGGGGTAAGAGAGTCGCATTGTTTTTCTCACATTTTTTCAGTTCTTTGTGGTCAGTTTTAAAAGAATTTTTATTATTTGATGGGCATTCATGTGCATGTGTGTGGGGTTTGTGTGTTTGTGTGTGGGGTTTGTGCATTTGTATGTGTTCATATGTGTATTTGTGTCCATGATTGCAGTTGTCTGTAGATTTGCATGTGTTTATGTATATGTTTTGTGTGTTTATGTGTGCCTGTGTGTTTATGTATATTTGTGTATATGTAGGTGTATTTGTATATAGGTGTGTGTACATGTTTATAATTTTATGTGTCTCTATTTATGTTTGTGTGTGTGTGCTCATGAGTGTGTGTGTGTATGTTTTTGTGTGTGTTTCTGTGTAGGTGTGTGCATGTTTGTGTTTGTGTGTGTGTCTGTGTTTGTGGGTGTGTCCCTGTAATGTTTCCTGATATTGTCCTACTCCCCTTCCTTTTGTATGAGGGTATACATACACACACACACACACACACACACACACACACACACACATAATATATAAAAAATCTAATAGGAAATTTTGATAATTCCTTTCATTTTCATGTGTCTCCAGTTTTTTATTGTATAAATAAGATAAATTTCATCTGCTATCTCTATCAGAGTTTTCTTTTAACTATTTACAAATGTTTATTTTTTTCCATTTGGTTTACAATATTTGCTAAGCTACTAATTGTGTCATTAGTAACCAAGTTGTCACTGGTACATTTATTTTCACTTGTGGTTGTTTATACCCTCATGTGAGATGTAGCTTTTCCTTGAATGGTCAGTTGGGCTCTGATTGTCTTGCTAAGTAAGCCAGACTGTTCTGTTGTTTCTTGTAGGAGCTAAAAGTGTATCTTTGAGTGCTTTGTGAAGTAAAATGCTAATCTTTCAGGTGTATTGTGTGTTAAGAGTATCACACATAATTCCTTCTCCTGGAGGAGCGCTCTGCCCCTGTCCTGCTGTCCCTGGGAGAGCAAAGGCTCCAGGTCTAACTTCCTTTCCGGTTCTGTTCTGAGAAGGCCTGTTCCAGGGGTCGGTGGGAGGCAGACCTTTTTCCTAGAATCCAGGAGAAACCAGCCTGAAGCTGAATCTCGGGCAGACTTGAGACGCACAGGCTCTGTTCTGAGTGCTAAGAATCCTGCAGAAGGGCATGGATTACTTACCTTCATGCCTGATAGAGGCGGGGGCGGGAGCGGGGGCGGAAGCGGGGGCAGGGTCTTTGAATTCCAAGTTGACCAAGGCTACACAGTGAGACACTGTCTCAAGAAAAAAAATCGTTTCAGGTAATATACAACTAAAACAAAAATCACTTAAAGCTGATTATATATATGTGTATGTAAAACAACCATTCTACTCATTAGCAAATATTAAGATTATTATTACGCCATGAGCTATATTTGTGATTCAGATACAGTAAAGCTGTTTGAAATGAGAAGATGCGGCTGTGATTATAAGTCTGCGTTTGTCAGTTTATTCTTTGGAAGTTATAACAGCTCCACACTGGTCTCTGGTTAAAGAGATAATTACTGTTTAAAAAATTTTACGTACGTGACACGCCATCCGTGCACAAACCAAATAATGGAAAGACAAATCTATTTAATTTTTTGTGTGTGAATTTGTGTTGAAGGTAAATTTTATATAATTTCATTATTCTGGAAATTATTGTTATTGCAACTAATACTATTAATACAATGAAATGTCATTACTTTGATTTCAATAGGTTGTTTTTACACCCACATTTTAAGACATATTCATACAACAAGTCAGGAACGCTGCAGGAAGATTCTTCTTTTGTAAAGGTAACTTTATACTGCTGCATAGATGCATGTTTTCATTTGTGTGAGTGAGTATGTGTGTGTGTGTGTGTGTGTGTGTGTGTGTGTGTACATGGTCTCACAAAGGAGCCCAGGCTGGCCTCATACAATATTCCCTTCTCTGCCTCCTAAGGTTTGGAATTACAGGTTTGTTCTATCATGTGCAGCTTAGACTTATTTTAAAAATATATGTAACATGTTGCTGTTGTAAAGAAAATGAATGCTTCATAGTCCACAGTGTTACTGGGCAAACATCCCAAATCCAAACCCAATGTGTCAAGTACTACAAAATGATGTTGAATAAAACAGCTGTTTTGAATCTGAAACTCGGGGATTTATCCAAAAGTACAATTAAGCTATGCCTGCAATGTTAGAAGTTTGAGAAGAGAAGGCAGAGACATTGTAGCTGTGGAGGAACTGTGGAGGCCATTGTGGGAATTACCATATAAATAGACAGACCTCGGCAAACCGGTAAGAAGAATACAAAAGCAGACTACATGCAGAATTGTCAGCAGAAAGGGGGTAGCATCCAAAGGCTCTCCGATGGGGACCGTGTCTGGCCATAGCATGCAGGGCTTGAGCAGAGCTCCGAGGTCTCAGAGGTTAGGGGTGCTGGACCTGCTTCCTCATCCAGTACCAGAGGTGAGGGGGCTGCCAGATGCTTGAATTTTACATCTGATTTTGATTAACACTTATTAATTGTATGTACTAACAGGGTCCAGTGCAATTGTTCAATACTTGCACATAGTCTGTTATGAGCAAATCCAGCCTTCCTTTACCCATTATCCTTGCCCCTTCCCAGCCTCTGGGAAGGTGTCTTTGTCTGGGTAGATGTCTTTGATAGGCTGATTTCATTTTTTGTACATATATAATCCAGAGTGGGGATGGTTGTATTTTATAAGTTTTTTGAAGAAGTCTTAGATTCCTAAGTAAAACCCTTCCCACAAAGAAACTCCATGTTGAGCTATCTTAAAACAACCTGTCCATTCTATTAAGATAGAAATTGTTGTTTCATGATGTTAATTTGTTCCTACTGTGTCCTCCCTATCATGGCAAGACAGTGGCATGAGCTCTGTGTTCTCCCTTGTTTATCTTGTCAGTTTTACCTGGAGATTTTCTGTACTTGTTGAAATTTGGCAATACATAGAAAATAAAGAAAATATCCAACTCTTAGGGCTGGAGAGATGGCTCAGTGGTTAAGAACACTGCCTGTTCTTGCAGAAGACCTGCGTTCGAATCCCAGCACCCACATGGCAGCTAATAACTATGCAAAACTCCAGTCCAGTGGATCTAACGGCCTCTTTTGTCCTCCGCAGGCATTGCACGACATGGGTGCACTTACCGACATGCAGGCAATACATGCATACACATAAAATAAAAATGAAAAATAATGAAAATATCCAACTCTTTTCCATGTGATCTTCTATTTTCAGTTTTATTGCTTGCCCTTTTTACGTTTATTTTCCTTTTCGCACACAGGATATTTGGGCCCTTTACAGTCTGGCTATTGAAAACAATGCTTCCTTCATAATTCCCATAGTTTGTTGTGATGGTATATGGTTTTTATTTCTCTGGAATATGCATCCAAGACTGATTTCTAGGCCATGCAGTAAATGTATGTTTATTTTTTAAAGAAAGTACTAAATAATGCAGAGTGGCTGTGATATCTTGTACTCCAACCTCAGTGTGTAAGAGGCAGAAGATGGGCAGCCCAGCCACCAGTTGGCTGGTTAGTATGCAACATGACTTATTGTAGCAGACAGCAGCATCTCCAGTAGACCTGACTTGCATTTCTGAGTGACCCGTCTGCTAGATGCATTTTCATGTGGGTATGTATCATCTTTTGTGACATGTCTATTAAGGCCCTTGGTCCATTCCCTGATTGTATTATTTCCCTCCACTTTTTTCATTTAGAGATTTAAACATGTGGGTTGGAAATGTGTCTTCCAGTCTGTGACGTGCTCCTTCCTTCCCATGTGGTCTCTTTCGGATTCGGAAGGAAAACCCTGAAGAGGGCTTCCCTTTTCACAAACGGTGGTTTTTTTTTTTATCATATCTAAATCTCTATGTAGAACTTGCTCCTGGGTTTCTTCGAATACTTTGTTTTATATTTAATCATGTGTCTGTTTTGAAAGAATTTTGTATAAGGTATGACTTCGGGGTCAGGTTTTACTCTTTTGAATGTGTCAGTATTCCAGATCACGGATAGAAGGGCAGCATCTCTGTTGGGAATGAGCCGGCATGACTGTGTGAGTGTGCTGCTTATGCTTGTGTGCCTGTCTGTCCATCACCGGAACGCTGTCCCCTGTGCTACTCACATAATAAACCTTAGTGTGGATTATGTGACTAGTTCTACTTCATTCTTCTTTTCCAACTTTTTAAACTCCTCAATAGTTTTCTTTTCTGTATAAATTTTTAGACAAAGCTACTCTACATGTAGAGAATACCCCACTAAATCTGTAATGGAACTTTGTTAAACTTCTGTGTGAAGTCCAGAACACGTGACAAATTTCTCTTGCAAACAGGTGCCGTCTCCTTTCTCCCTTTGATCTGTACTGAGGGACGGCCGGGAGCGTGGACTTGTTCCAGCATCCCAGGCCGCAGGGATGGGGTGCTGAGCCTGCACTGTCTAGGGAATGCTGCCTGTAGGTTTGTTTATGAACGCTTTATTAAGCCGAGGTATCCACCTCACTATCTCTAGACAGCTGAGAGGTTTATTTTTTCCACTATAGAGCGTGACAGATTGCAGGAATTGATGTTCAAATTTTGAAACAGTTTCACATACCTGGGGGGGTGGGGAACTCACAATGTGATCACAAGTATATAGCTCTTTTGTAATTATAATTTTAAAAATACAACTATTTTGTGTTTGATTTGAGATACAGGCAGGCTCCTTCAAGTATCCATAGCATTGATAATAATTATGATGAAATCATCATCGAAGTCCACTGAAGGCATTGTCTGTGGCCTTTTATCTTTTTCCATTGTTTTAACTTTATCTAATTTTTGCATTAGGGCAACATCGCCCTTATAAAGAACTTTGGGAAATAGTCATTAACTATCTCTATTTGAATAAGATATATTTTAATATCTCAATACTGGCTAAATTGTTCAGTGAGTCACTGGGCATGGGGAAATCCACATTATAGGGTGAGGGGTTTTAATTGCCGGCTCAATTTATTTAATGGTTGTAAGAATGTTGACTGGACATTTCATTTGTGCCGCTTTGATGGTTGGTGACTCTTGAGGGATTCTCTGTTTCATCTTAGGAGTTGTGTCATGATGTTAATTTGTTCCTAACATGTCTTCCTATCCCTCATGGCAGTGGCATGAGTTCTGTGCCCTCTCTTTTTAATTTTGTCAGTTTTACCTGGAGATTTTCTGTATTTGTTGAATTTATCAATAAATAGAAAATAAAGAAAGGGACCAGCTCTTTTTTGTGTTTTTCTGTTTGGGGTTTTATTGCTTTTCATTCTTGTGTTTACTTTCCATTTTGCACACATGATTGGGATTACTTTCGTCTTTTTCTGGTTTGTGGTGACCTTCACTTTTTCCGTCACAAGCATTTCAGTCCCCTCTCTCTTGACCTTGCTCCATCCACAGTGATGTGCTCTACGCCCTTTTAATTCAGATGTACATAGAATTAACGTGCATATTTAAAATTCCTCTGTGTCTTCTTTGACTTGTGAAGTTTCAAAAAATGTATGTTTTAATTTCTACATGTTTGGAGACTCTTGTCTGTGGTCTGTTACTCACTTCTACTTTTTTATCAAGGTTAAAGCACATGCCTCTGCACTGTCAGTTCTAAAACTGAGAACTGTGCCTTATGACTGAGTGTATGGTGGGTCTAGGTGGACCACTTTGGCTACTTGATAAAAAAGTGTGCTTCTGAGACCTGTTTGTTGTAAGGTCTTCTGTGTAGCCGTAGCAATTAGTGCCTTGTATTCTGGCTGGAAAACTGTTTCCTTGTGGTCATCCACCACCTCTGGCTCTTACAATCTTTCCAGCCCCTCTTCAGAAATGATCCCTGAGCCTTGGGTGGTGGCAGAGGTTTGATACAGGTGTCCTTTCAGGGATAAACACTCTACAGTCTCTTATTCTCTGCACTTTGACCTGCTGCAGCTTTCTGGGTTCCTTTGCTGGTCAGAGTTGAGAGACGCACTAATATTCTTTCCATCACCTATTCTGCTGTGTTCTCTGAGCTTTAGGTGTAGAGCTTGCATTGTAGATGTGTTGCTTAGGACTGGGTATTTCACAGTCATGTATTCTCTGTATTTGATCAGTTGTGGAACTCTCTAATAGTTATCTGTTGCAAAAAGAAGCTTCTTTGATGGGTGGTGAGAGGTATACCTATTTGTAAATGTAAGGATATGTATTTAGAATATAGTAAAAATGTACATCAGTCTAGGAATGTAACAAAAGTAGTTTTCTCTAGGGTCTATGCCATCTCCAGCCCTGGGTATTTGGCTATGTTTACAGTTACTACACAGAAGTTCTTTCTTGCTGAGCAGGTCTTAAGTCCAGTTAGATAGCTGTTGGTTACCCCCAAGAGAGGAGTGCACTATTGTGCCAATAGAGACAGTTTTCTGGGTGGGTCATTTGTGGTAGTAGACTTACAGCTGGGTGGGATCATCGACTGGTTTCCTCCCTTGGCAGGTTGTACGGTGTCCTCTGATACCATGAGAGCTGGTCTTCAGGGAGGAGCTTCCAGCTCAGTTCCAGCTCCACTGCTCCAAGTCCTGTGTCTGAAGTCTGGCCTTTCTTCAACAATAGGGCCTTACCTTCAAGTTCTGGGAGGCAATCAAGGGCTGTGGCAATAGCCTAGGTTATTTTGGGAATCAAAGATTCTGTAGTACATTTATAAGCTATTAAATCTAGTCAATGAGATCTTATGAAATCATCTTATTTTGATCAGCATTTTCATATGTACTTTTGTAACCTTTATCAAGCCACCTACGTAATTTTGTTTTTAATTTCTTTTGTGTTTTATTAATAACATACTGTAATTGTGCAAAAAAAAACGGGTGTTACTATGAAAGTACTTTGTTTTCTCCTCCTCCTCCTCTTCCTCCTCCTCCTCCTCTTCCTCTCCTAGATCTTACTCCTCTTCTTTAGTAACCCTCCCCCTGATTTCATGACTTTTTCATAGATTGCACAACGGCTTCATCCATTGCTCCATTGCTGGGTGCATAGGCTGGTTCCAAAATCTGTCCACTGTGAATAGTGCTGCAGTAAGTGTGGAGAGGCCGTGTCAAACCTCTTAGGGGTCCTTGGCTGCTGACACGGGGCGAGGTCTGGACAGTCGTCTTAGGTAGGTTGGGGCACTGGACACAAGAACTGACTCCTCAGGTTCCCGCACGCAGTTCTATCCTAGGAGGCTACTTTGGTGTCTAATGCTGCCATAGCTCATTCTGGAAAGCCACTCTCACTCTGCTGCCTGAAATGTGGGTGTACCTGGTAGATTTCTGGGCCAGACGGTATTGATTAGCAGCATGGGTGATAGGAGACTTGTGGATTGGATAACATTTTCTCTGGTTGCTCTCTGTTGAATGGATGACCTCGTGTTTACCTCTCTCTGTTGGCCCTTTGATAGGAAAGCTTTTATCTGGGTGACATGTACTGTGTGAGTATTGGGAGATGTCTTACAAGGATCTTAGTGGGGACACAGCCTGGAAATATTGAGAAATTGCTCTCTGCTTCTGGTTAGCAGTGAGTTGGCACCTGGATTGCCTTCTACTTCTTTATGAAGGGCTGCAGGTACCATTGGTGTTGCAAGTTGCTACTGCTGTTGCCCAACATGTGGTGTGGTACAGATCTCCCTGTCTGGAGAAAGTTCTGTGGTATGGGTGGACCAGGCATTGTGGTACCAGTATGTGTTGGATAGATTGGACTGGCTTACCAGGGATCTATTGACTGCTCTTGGAGATAGTGGGCCTGCCACTCTCATTGGTGGAGATGAGGATTATGCATAAAAATTTAAACAAGGACCATAAATGAAGATACATGCTCAAGAGGTACTAACATACAGGAATATTCACAAGAGTCAATGTATGATGGTTAAGTTTTCATAATATACAAGCAAGACTGAATCTGGAAATCACTAGAATTTAAACTTATGAGGAAGAAGAGATTTATTACTGGAAAGTCAGAGAAAGGCTGACCTTGGTAGAGACAGTGAGGAAGAGAGTTTGAACTACCCATGATCAATTATCTCTCCAGTGAGATATTAAGAGAAATCAAGGTGAGCAAATGTCAGTTAAAGCATGTTTGAGCTGGCCAGATGGCTCAGAGAGTACAGGCGCTTACCGCCAAGCCTGATGGACCGAGTTCCATCCTGAGATCTCGTATGGTGGAAGGCAGAAACTGACTCTTACAAGTCGTCCGCTGGCCTCCGCGTGCCCAGTGTTACATATGCACACCCCCACACATAGATAAAATAAATAAATACATGTAAAAACGCTTTTGCATATCCTGAAAAATTGAATGAAATGTTCATATTTGAAATCCCCTAAATGCTGTAAATTACAAGCTAGCAGGTATAGACTATAAACTTAGGATATATGGCTAATAAGGAAAGGATGTGTGTAAAAAGCCTAAATACTTGTTTGTCAAAATTTAGAATTACAGCAAGACTATTTCAGGGAGGTGGATAGTCATGATTACTGAGGCACAAGAAGATTTAGAGGAAGCACTTGCAGAAAGGCAGCAAGGTCACTGAGCGTCTCATGCATAACATAATGGCTCAGTATCAATGCCTGATCATGTCTAGGAAGTGAGGGTGAATCTGAGGGCTTCATCTTGGAATCAGTTAGAACACATCCTCTTTTGTTCCTCTTTAGGGTCACTGCTTTTATCAAGGACATGCTGCAGAGATGCCCATTTCCATTGTGACAGTCAGTACTTGCTCAGGACTCAGGTAACATTCCGGAAGTGTGCACTGAGATTGTATGTCAGCCCTCAACTTTCAGCATTTTCTACAAGAATTGGAATGAGGCAAAGGAATCCAGACTAATAGTGGCTCTGCTCCTGCAGTGTCTTTACTTCCTTCTCTTCCCTATCCACTCCATATGGTGTTGTGTGTGTGTCTTCTTTGTAATTTGCTATCATGAAGCTTATGCAGAAAATGTTTCCACTGGCATGAATAGAATTCACGATTCCTTGCCACATCAGACCGTAACTGCCCTTCAATGCTATAACGGAAGCTAGGTAGGTGTAAAATTGGGTTTCAAACTTAATCCAAAAAAGAATGAATGATTTTTGGAGATATGCAATTTACAGACATACTTTTAGTAGTGACTGATATTTCTCATGGGAAATCTATACTAATTGCGTTTTAATTTCTTTAAACATTTAGAGGATTATTGCAGTTAGAGGATGTTACTTATGGAATTGAGCCACTAGAATCTTCAGCTACATTTGAACACATGTTTTATGAAATAAAGAATAATAAAATTGATTATGCCCCCTTAAAAGAAAAACATGAAAATCAGTCCTACCGGATTCTTGTGAAGCCAGAAGTGAGTAACCCCTTTGATCATCTTCACTTGTGTCTAACTTTTGCAAACTTATCTAGATTGAAAATTTGAGATCAGATACATTTGGGAAACAAATTTAAACTGCTGTAATTAAGGTCTTATAATTCTTCAGATAATACTTTGAGAAAAAATATATAACAGACACTATTTAAAAATCATCAAAGTTATTACCACATATTTATTTAATAAATAAGGAGTTTGTAGATAAACACAGCTTTCTTCTGAATTTTCCTACTATTAACATAATTGTTCCCAGGTTTATGTACTATTACTTTATAA